ATTTAACAATAACATTAGTGTTATATTTAAAAAAATATAAATGTGTAAAGACTTCAACTATATAGGTGTTTATGTGCATTACAATGTAAACTCAAATATAAATTTCAGTTCCATTTAAAAAACTAAAGAATATTTTGTAAATAGTTAAAAGTGATAAATTGTAGTGATAAAAGCAAAAACTAAATTATAATCTCAATTTAACTAAAATATTTCTTAAATATGTTTTTATAATCGTTAAAAGATTCCAAATAAGTAGCTTAAAATAACTTACAATAACAATAGTTAAAAACAACTATATATAAATGATTATATTGTTAGCTTTACAATAAAAAACAATGTTTGATGTTTTAAATAATTATAATGATAGAAATTAAAACATTAAGCAAATAAATTTTAAAAAATTAATTAACAATAAAAACAATTATAAATAATATCAAATCATATATTATATTGAATTTTATTCATGTGTAACTCGCGGGTAGAAGTCATTTAAACGATTGAGATTATGAAGTTACAATAAATGTATATATTATCATATAATTCAAATGAAATCAATATATTATATCAATTTAGTATATACAAATTTTTATATCAAATTTAACAACAATGTCATTGTTATATTTAAAAAACATATATTTGTAAAGACATCAACTATATAGGTGTTTCTGCGCAACGCGCGTGCATTCGCCTATTATAATTATAAAGGAAGCATTTTTCATTTCACCACATTAATTTCAAACTTCCATGTAATTTTCCTTTCACCGCATTCATTTGAAACTCCCATGACTTTTCAATTCCTTTCTAATAATGATTATAAGTTGGTTAATAAGGTTAAATAAATATCAAACCTAAAGTGTAATCATATATAAACTAACTTTCAATATTAAAAGAATATGTTTTCTTCTACTTATAAAGTTATGTTTTTAACTTTTAACATATTATATTTAATTTATTAGGTCTAATATGTTGGTGTATGTAAACCATTATCATTTTAAAGCTACAACTTATGATCAATTTGTATAAAATACTTAAATTGTTAATTTAAAGATCACCTTACAGGATCAACTTAAATATAAATTTTAGTTCAACTTAAACAACCTAAAAAATATTTTGAAAATAGTTAAAAGTGATAAATTGTAGTATCTTTCTAATAAAGATTAAAAGTTGGTTAATAAGGTTAAATAAGTATCAAAGTTAAAGTGTAATCATAAATAAACCAAAATTTCAATATTAAAATAATATTTTTTACTTCTACTTATAAAGTTATATCTTTAATTTTAACATATTATACTTAATTTATTAGATTTAATATATTGTTGTATGTAAACCATTATCAGTTTAAAGCTACAACTTTTGAACAGTTTAGACAAAATACTTAAATTGTTAATTTAAATATAACATTACAGGATAAACTTCAATATAAATTTCAATTCCACTTAAAAAACCAAAAGAATATTTTGTGAATAGTTAAAAGTGATAAAATGTAGTGCTAAAGACAAAAACTAAATTGTAATATCAATTTAACTAAAATATTTTCTAAAAATATTTTTATAATTATTAAAAGTTTTCAAATAAGTAGCTTAAAATAACTAACAATAACAATAATTTAAAAAAAAAAAAAAAAACTCTATATAAATGATTATATTGTTGCCTTTAAAATAAAAAAAGTTGTTTTATGTTTTAAATAATTACAATGATAGAAATTAAAATGTTAAGCAAATAAATTTTAAAAAATTAATTAACAATAACAACAATTATAAATAGCATTAAATCATATATTATATTTAATTTTATTCTTGAGTAACCTGCGGGTAGATGTCGTTCAAAAGATTGAGATTATGCAATTTTAATAGATGTATATATTATCATATAATTCAAAATAATCAATATATTATATCAACTTAGTATAAGAATTATTATATCAAATTTAACAACAATATTATCGTTATATTTAAAAAAACATATATTTGCAAAGATTTCAGCTATATAGATGCTTATGCGTAACGCGCGGATATTCGCTTAGCATGTATGTGTGTGTGTGTGTATATATATATATATATATATATATATATATATATATATAGAGAGAGAGAGAGAGAGAGAGAGAGAGAGAGAGAGAGAGAAACAACACCATTGTCTATAGGAATATCATCACCGACTGTTTCACATCTTCATATTCTTTCAGAAAATTTATGTAGTTTCATCAAAGCATAGAAGGATAACATGAGCCATGCCATCTGCGAAAACATTTGGATGATGCCAATATTATGGTATGTAGACGATAAGGTCAAACCAATATAAAGCTAATGCCATTATAACAAGCACTTGCCTGCATTGTTTTGGAATCAAGTTTGTTATGCAAGTTAGTAATGCATGTACCACACTATCTCTCAAGTCTACTTTTATGGAGAGGGTGTATGCATGTAATATATATTACAACTCAAAATCACCCAACATTTTTTCAATGAAATGAATCGAGATCGCTATCAAAACAAATGTCAAATCTACACCAAATAGAATAACACAAACAAAGTAGTAATAGAGCTTGAAGTTGTGTTTAACAAAATAAGACGTGATTGGTCAAATGATGAAAAAATTGACGTTATTTAAACATTGTTCTAACAATTTTCCACCAAGAAAAGAATCATCCTTTATGATAGACTTTTGCCAAGTCGGAAAAAAAAGGTTGAAAAAACAAATAACATTAGCGAAATACTCAAGAACTATTGTGGCGGCTGTAACAGTAATAATAAGGTAGTTGAAATGGTGCAATGATGGAGTAACAGGTGGCATGTTGGGACTTCAAAATCGGATGGTCCATTTCAAGTTAATTCTTACCTCTTCTAACAGGAATCGAAAGGAGCTTACACTTGTCACTTCATCTCTTTCGTCAAATATCATCCAAGTTTCGTGTGTACGATGGAAGATGAGTCAGATGATTTGGTATATGTCGTGCAAATATTGTAGCTTTCATCCTTTACGATCTCGACACATGTAAAAGTGCTCTAACTAATATCCGAACAAACTCATTGAAGTCCGATAATTCCTAGAGAAGAGAGTAACAATTAAAATACTTTTTAAATTTTATTTTAAAAAACTCGTTTTATATACATAATCTATATTCTATAATTGTATAATATGGGAATGGTAATTTATCAAACAATTTTTTTTTTATTGTTTTTAATATAGGAAATGGAGGTTGCTTGTGGTATCAAGATGGTTGGATGGGGGAATGACCCACACAAATGGATTCTTTTCTTGTCCATTTGTGAAATATTCATTCAAAACCAACTTGCAAATTCTTTAATACCCTCAAGATTCCATCACTTGCCCCCACATTCCATTTTTCTTTGTATTTAATTCAACAAGTAACTCTTACATCTTTGTTTGCACTCTACCATCATTCATTACCCAAAAGACCATTACCTAATAATACATAAAACATCTCAATCATTTATTACGACACATATATATACATACACGTATGTAATAGTTTTGTTTGTCATTAAAAACCACAAATTAAACTAGCAACACCACGTTAGATACCGGAGGAGGTTGATGCTGACAGTTTCTATCGGAAAATAGAGCAGCTATTTCGTAGAAACATTTAAAAAAAAAAAAAAAAAAAAAAAAAAGAGCATGAACCTACAAAGGTTGATCTCATGTATATGAAAAAACAAAAAACATAAGCCTTTATAGATTTAATTAATTTTATCTATTGATTGATTAGATAAAACATATAAATATATAGTATTAATAAAGCTAATTACCCACACATAACAATCAAAAATATATATATATATATATATATATATATATATATATATATATATATATATATATATATATATAGTAATTAATTAATGGTAAAATTTAACCCAATCATTGATTACTTATTTAAAGACTAACCATGTCTTGAAAATGAGTTATTCAAACGTTCAAAAGATATTTTGATTATAAATAAATTATTGAAAACTCTACCATGATTAAGGGGAGTCTTGTACTCTTGTTATAAGAAAAGATTCAAATACCTCCCCTTTACTCTTTTCCATTTCTCCAAATGACCCACCAACCTTTTTTTTTCATTTGGTAGATTCGAATAGTGGATTAGAGTTTAGAGAGATACTTCGCTTCCAAAGGACCTAAACAAAAATCAATGTCGACAGATCTACGCCAGATCTCTTCTCTTCAACCACCCAAATCTAAGAAATTTATATATTCCTTATAATAATAATAATATAATAATATTCAATATCTAGAGTTCTATTAAAAAATCTAAAAAATATATTTACATAAAAAAAATGGTTACCCAATGGCAACGTGTCCTAAATATCGAGAAGCAAAAACGAACTCAATCCTAATAAAATTAAATTTTGTGAATCAGGTCTATACAGATTTTGGATCCGTACAATTGAATTTATCATCTCTTAATTAATAATAAAAGAGAAATTAAATTGATTCCTACTTTTTATTCTTACAAATATACCTACCCAATAAAATTATAAAAAATGTTATCTTTCCATATTTTTTAAACTAAATCATTAAAACTATATTAGAAATATATCAAATACAATTAAATTGAATGGTGATTTGTCATAATTTTAATGAGTAGAAATAATTGTATGAATAAAAGGTAGAAGGCAATTTAATTTCTCATAACAAAATATCAAAAAAAAAAAAAAAAAAAAAAAAAAAAAAAAATCTTATAAACAGATATTAGAATTAGAAAATCAGACATACATTAAATTTTTGACTGATAAAAAACATCTTATTTTTTCAAACCATCTAAACTATTATTTATTTATTTATATTTATTTGCAATTAACCTTTAGCTTACGGGTACATTTTATGTGGCTTTAATATTTAGGGTATGTTCTGTTTTCTGACATTTGCCTAAAAATAACAAAAAATTTAACTGATTTTCTATATTAACTTGTTTGGAAAAAAGAAACCCCTAAAAAGGGTACATCCAATTAAACATTTAAAAAAAAAAAAAAAAAAATCCCTATTTTGCTTTCAACAACAGTTTAAAATGAAAGGAACCAGGGAAGATCGTCAACACCAACCCCTAAATCATTGCTCCAATTTTCCCCCTTCCTCTCATTGGCTCCACTATAATACTTTACTAGGATCAAAATCTCACCTTCAATGGCGTAAAACTCAAATTCAAGATTCTTGCGTTCCCAACATAACCGGAACACACCAAGAAACTTGAATTCGATTCTATTTCTATAATTCTTCAGAAAATCGTGGAAGGAAAGAACAGCCACACGCAGTGAGTGTGAAATTGCGCGTTTTTATGAACACAACACTATAAGTGTATGAAGAAGAGCAGTCGAAGAGAGATTATTAATCTTAGACGACAACCTGGGAAAACACGGGGAGCTGCTGTTGGACGGAATCTTCGACTGCTTCCATGAGATCACGGCGGCTCTTAGGATGACCACCGATAACGCTTACCGTGTTGATACCACGTCACGCCTCGCTCAATGGCGTATCGACAATTTGGCTTCTTGTACTTATCGTAAATCCGATCCTTTCAAGATCGGTAAATGGAACTGGTATTTTTTTTTTTCTTTCCCCAATATTCATAATATATTCTCTGTTTTTTCTTAAAAAAGCAACTAATAATTCAGTTATTGTAAATCGTTTTTGATAAAATACACGTTTATTTCAACTTTCTTGAAAAGAGTGCCTATAGATATCGTTTTTCTTGTGGTTTATGACTTCAATTTTTTTGTTTTTTGTTTTATGAAATTGAAGGCGATTGGTTATTGAAAAGAATCGTAATCTGTACATTAAATTGTACCCAGAGATATCGGGTTTAACTAAAGAAACCCCTCCAATAGCTTCCTTCATCATTCGAGTGGTTTCTTCTTTAGGAGGTCGAAAAGCTTTAGTTCATCCAGGTAGATTTTGCGCTGAATTTAATCGAATTTTACTATTCGTTATTTGGGTTACTTTAATTTTTCGTTTACGATTGCAGAAATCAGAGATAAACAGCTTAAAACTAGCGACGATTTTGTTTGGGCACTTGAAGTTCCACTTACAGGCAAATTCATCATCGATCTTGAGTTTCTTGACCTTAAAACCGCATCTCCAAACGTAATTCAACCAATCCATCTAAAATATCTTCGTTATTTTCATCTTCTGATTATTTATAATTAACTAATTAATTAATTACCAATTATTTCAAACAATATCACAAAAATTCAACATTAATTATTTAGTTGGTGAACTAGAAGTTATAACTTCAACATCTAGATAGATAGTGTCGGTTGCCAACCAACATTAACCAACATTTTTATTTTTTAGTCTCCCATTTAACTAACATCATCTGTGAATATCATTTTTCTAAAATTTGTAATAAAAAAAAAAGTTAATTACTTTTTCGGTGTGACATAATGTAACAGGGTGGTGAATCGTGCTCTGTTTGGACGGAAGGTTTAACACAAAAGGATTTAAAATCAACCGCGATTTCCTCCCTTGGAAAAATGTTATCTGAAAGCATCCACACAGATATCATCATCCATGCTTCAGATGGAAGCATGGGGGCCCACCGGGCAGTACTGGCTGCCCGGTCGCCTGTCTTCCAAAGCATGTTTTCTCATGACCTAAAAGAAAAAGAAATGTCCGCCATAAACATCTCTGACATGTCCATTGAAGCTTGCCAAGCTTTTTTGAGTTACATTTATGGTAACATTGAAGAACAAAACTTTCTTGTTCATAGACTCCATCTTCTTAGAGCAGCTGATAAGTATGATGTTGTGGATTTAAAGGAAGCATGCCATGAAAGCTTATTGGAAGATATTGATACGAATAATGTTCTTGAGAGGCTTCAAATTGCTTCTTTATATCGTCTTGAAAAGCTGAAGATTTGCTGCATGCAGTATCTTGTGAGGTTTGGGAAGATATTTGACATTTTAGAGGAATTTGATGCGTTTATAAAAACTGCAGACAGAGAACTCATAGCTGAAGTGTTTAATGAAATTCTTTCTGTCTGGAAAGGTTTCTGAATCAAGATATACATATATATATATATATATATATAGCGTTATTATTATTATTATTATTATTGCTAAGTTAATTATTTGTTGCATCTGTTGATTTATGAAATTGGGTGTGCCCAAAGATTTGTTTTGTACATAATTTGTTTTGATTTAAAGTTAAACTATGTACTTGTACACAATAGTTTGTTCAATTAAAAGAATATACTCGAAAAATTGTATTTATGGTTGTTGAAAAAATATCGGCTTATTTCTGTTTCATGATTAATATTGTGTTACAAAAACTAAAACACACCTTCTTTGAGCCTTTACTTGTGTTACAAAAAAACTCACCTTCTTTGAGCCTTAACTTGATGAAGTGAATCATGATTCACTCTGTATGCTGCTTCAACTTGTTTGTTTGTCTCTTCTTTTGCTCATATTTCATGAAGTTCAATTGGAGAAAATGTTGTTTGGTGTTTACCTTTTTTAAGTATATTTATATGCATATGAGTGGATATAAAGAGGAATATTATAAAGTACCTTTTGTTAAAGAAAGCATATTCCTTGTTTGAGTTTGGTCAAAGCTGAATTCACAGGATACAAGAAGAAAAAATGAACATTCTTAAAACATTCATGAACCTGTAAAAGCTGAATGAATTATGATAACAACCACATGTATTACATGAATGAAAAATTCATAACTTTTTTTTGTATGTATTTATCAAGATATGATATATTTCTTTGTCCTCTTATATGCCATTTTGTGTTGAAAAACTTCATTCATTCCGAATTATGGCAAAGTTTCTTTTATTTTGGGGTTATTTTAACGAATTGACAGATAAAAAATAATAAAGTACAAACTTTTGAGGTTGCAAAAACACAAATTGCAGAAAACCCCACATTGCAAAATAAATAATGTAAGAGCCTATTCTATCTGTGAAGTCATGCTATTGAACACATTTCATGAGTTACAGAGGAACCTCAATGGCATTCATGGATTCTTGATGGGCTCCCATGGGGCCATTATAGAAGGAGCTCATGTCACTGCACCTCTGTTAAACTCTGTTTAGATCTTTCTGATATGTTGTTTTTTTAATTGCAAATTGTTATTAAAGCTTCATAAATTTCTGTAACATAGCATTGACAGCTTCAATGACACATTATAGAATGGGAAGAAGCAGTTTTGAATTTTTACGTTAAAAGATCATTGCGATTATCATTCAAAAATTCAACAGTTACTGGATACATATATCGGGTTTTCACACACGGAATTTAGGATAAAGGTGTTATAATCCACTAATTATATCAAAAGTTAGCTACCTTTTTGAAAATTGAGAATACTTATCTGCTGTATTTTTCTCTTCATGAAAGATAGACGAAGGATATTTATCAAATACACATTATGTGAATATTCATCGATTAACTAGACATGTTAACATCTTCAAAATAAACTTCAATTCTTGCACAATTCAATTTAACGTTTAGGAACGATGTAAATACTATACATGTCACGAAGACAGAATCGAAAAAGAAAAATGTAAAATTTTCAGATTAGTAAAACATTGTTGGTGCTTGAAAAGAACATCAGAACAAAACCCTATTTCGACAATTGAAACCACTACGAGAAAAGATTAAGACGGAGGAGGGGCAGCGACAGCGAAGAACGGCCTACCGGCGGTGGCACCGGTGGGATTGGAGTACGATTGAGATGGAGGGTAAGAATAATGTATTTCGTCATTGACCTTGTGGAAAGCTCTGCTGAAAACACCAAATCCGAACAGCATTCCGATTGCTATCACCACGGCAATCAAGCACATACACATCATGCATATCTTTCCGCAACACATGGTGAATGAATTCTTCGAGATCTGGGATGGGTTTTTTCGATTTGAAGCAATTAAAATGGCAGGAATCAGGTAGGGAATCGTCGGGGTGGGGTAGCGTTGCAGGTAGTGATGATGAGTGGAGCGGTTACTGCACGCTTTGTTCTCCCTTTGGTGTTTGGATGAATATATATAGCTTTTACGATAAAATTGGTCCTATTATTAGGATCCATTTGAGTCCTTCACGTTTATTTGCGAGATAAAGTGACTTAGTGAACCAATAAAATACGCAAGTAAAAGATCGTTTAAGCAAATCAATGTTATCTGCATTATATAATTTTGGTAACAATCTTTATATTTCATCTCTATATCTTGGTTAATGATAAATAAATATCTTTTAAATTAAATTAGGAAACTAGTTGTATGGTTTGTACAAGTGCGCATACAAAACAATTTTAGCATATGATCAATCCAGAGATTTTAATTTCCATCGACTTTAATCCCTTTTTGTTATGTTAGAAATTTGGGGTATAGATCCCTTTTTGTTATGTTAGAAATTTGGGTATAGAAAAGTTTAGAAATTCTGAGAATTGTGATATCACTTTCAGATTAAAGTATTTAGGTGATACTCTCAATCTATAATAATTGAATACGACTCAGAATATGAGAGCAGGAACAGAGAATATGATTGTTATGAATTTTGAATGTACCAAAAACTGATTTATGATCTTTGTATGAAAACTGTCATGTGACAGTTTCAAACTATCATAAAACTACCAAAACTGACATTAAAAAACAGGTATTTGGACAAGGGTTAATCCAATGATCAATTCTCTAAAAAATTGAATTTCTGATGCATTAAAATATGGGTATTTCGACCCTAGCCAGGGGCTCTGCCCCTTGGACCCCAACAGGGGCTACCACCCCTTGGACCCCGCTCCCAGGGGCGTTGTCCCTAAACCCCCGTTCGTTCAGGGGCTTCGCCCCTAAATATCAATGTATTTTGAAAACTTGATCAAACTCACCTCCCTTACTTGTTTCATATTTATCAAGATCATTTTTGGTCAACAAATTAATCTCATTACACTTAAATAACATTGATGATAACAAATCACCAACAAACATCCCCCATCTAAGTGTAATCTTGATTAAATTAAAACAAAACACAACAACAAACTGATGCTTAAATGAAATGTCGTGACGATTGAATTTCACATTACTATATTATTCATTCTAAGTATTCAAATATCATGGTGTCACTTAGGATTGAACTCCTTGTATTTATAGTAAATACATGAAGATAATACATACAACAATTTACATTCCCACAAGTTCTAACTTGACACTATATTTTACTAGCTCGTGTCCCATCGTTCAATAAGTATATCAAAGCCAAGTCTTAACTTCTTGAAGCAACTAAAATTCATGCTTAAATAGGTAGTCCTTTTATTCTTGCACCTACAAATTTAATTTTTCAAAAGAACTATTAAGAATATAAATTCAACCTCCTTTACTTGCAGTACTGAACACATACATTGGGATGATGATGATAATGTGTTCCGATATTCAAATATCAAGCTTTCCACATTGAATTTAGCATCTAATATTACACTAGATGGGGATTGGGTATCTCAATATAAAAGATTTTAGGTGGACTTTAAACCCATCCTTATGACCGTCTTGTGCACAAGATCTCTTGCTAACCCTTTGGTTAGATAATCTGCCAAATTCAACTGAGTTCTCACAAACTCCACATATATCACACCAGTTATGATGAGCTCACGAATCATACTATGTCGAACACCTATGTAACATCCGGAATCCCAGGTATATTATTTAATATTTATTTTTTTGAATTATGAGAAGGAACTCGGCGAGTTGATGCGTAGACTCGCCAAGTAGGGTCGTGATTGTTCATCCGGATTCACTTTGGACTCGGCGAGTCCACGCTGTTTAATGAAACCCTAAATCCTCCGGGGTTGGAGCCTATTTAAGGGTACTCTTAGCCTCCCATTACGGCTACCAGTCCCTTGAGAGCTCCCTTAGTGATATATATCGTTTGGAAGGAAGGAGAAGCCTTTATTGATCTTTCTTTCCTTGGTTTGGCAAAAAGGAGGTGATCAAGAGCAAGAGGAGGCTGAAGGAGGTGTGGTTCAAGTGGTTTCAGAGTCCATAGATTTCAACTTGAGGTATTCATTCGACTTTTCTTCAGTTTTGGTATTGAACCTAGAGATTAGGGTTTTCTAACCTTTTGTGAGGATGTTTATGTGGAGCAATTGGTCCCTTATCGAGTCTATGCTTTGGATCTGGACTCAAAGAGGTTCAGAGGCTTCAATCCAGTATGCTTTATGGGTCCTTGAGGGGTGATTGAACTTAGGTTGCCATTTATGGGACTAAATCTCCATTTGATGCCATTATGTATGTTTATAAGCATCAAGTTCCGAGCTTTACGTGATTATATTGATTGGGAAGGTCAGATCTATCGAATGGTGGAACAGATCTGACCTCAGGAGGTCAAAAGAATATGTGCATGGCATGTACTCGCCGAGTTATTCTTGGGACTCGGCGAGTTGAGTCAAGGTAGCCCCGCGATTCATGTCTGGGGACTCGTCGAGTAAAGGGAAGGACTCGACGTGTTAATTGGACTAAGGAGTTGAGTGGAGACAGGTGGACTTGCCGAGTTGCCCAAGTGCACTCGTCGAGTCAGGTCAAAGTTGACCATTGACTTTGGTTGGCTTTTAGGGTTTGGTCAGCAGCGAGGCCTTTGAGTCACAAGAAGGGTAAAATGGTCTTTTACCCTTCTGAGGATGTTAAGAAATGTTAGAGTACGGTCATATTTATGGGAATATTTGTCTTATGTGTTTAGGCAGAGGCTAGATCGCATTTCCCACCGAGTCAGTGAGTTACCGAGATATCTGAGGTGAGTCTTCTCACTATACTGTACTCGGAAGAGTATTTATGTGTGACCGGAAGGTCGGATA